GAAACCAATTTGACAATAAATTTCATATATTAAAAAAAAAAAATGGCATGAGGGCATTTTAGGGGTGATGGAACTATTTTCTATCATGGCTGTGGTTGCGGAACCACTACTCTGTGCATTTGTCAAAACTCAGAACCACAGAGTGAATTTTACTGCGTGTAAATAAATAAAAAAAAAAAATCAATGAAGGGAATGTAGGGGAATCTTGGCTCTGCTCCTCCTTGTTATGTGAGCTGGGTAACTTATGCATGCTCTCTGAGCCTCAGCTTTCTCACCTGTAAAGTAGGATTAGTAATAGTACTTCAGGTCTAGTGTGGACTAAATGAAACAGCACTCCATACATGCTAATTGTGACTATAATTTCATTTCTCCTTGTTAACACTGAACCCCATGAGGGCTCCATTGGGGAGGATCCATTTCCCTTTCCTTGACTGCATATTTATGCTCACCTGGTATATTACAAATACCAATGCCTGGGTTTCCCCAAAAGATACTGATTTAATTGAACTGGGGTGAGGTCTGGGCACACAATTTTAAAAAGCTCCCAAGTGATTCTAGTGGTCACCCAGGGTTGAGAATCCCAGGCAAGCACATTACAAATCCCACCTCTGCATCCTCACTTTGGCCTCTAGTCTGGCCCTGCCAGGCTTTGGGGCCCACCCAGGGCTTTCCCTAAGTACTAACCCACAGGCTCCAGCAGTAACCGCCTCCCCCCCCCCCCCCCCCCACCCCCTAGCCCCAGCAGGGGCCTGGGGCCACTTCCCCTGGGTGGGATTATCTAGGGGCCAGATGCAACATGTTATTGGCTGTTCTTTTCGCTTTTAATTCTGGAATAATTTCAAGATTATATAAAATTTCAAGAATAGTTAAAGAATCTCCTGCACTTTCCACAACTTCACCAAACCTCACGTTCGTGACATTAGACTATGAAATTCTTACTCTTTGGCTCTAGTTCTCCTCCCCACCCACTTATCTTTTCAAATTGTTATTTTGAATAGTTAAAAGAGTTATATTTATTTAGTACAGGTGTTCCTCTGCACTTGGTTTGAATTTTGACAGTGGGGACTTTGTGTCCTTGTTGACCTTGCCCAGCTTCTCCATTCTATCCCAGAGCCGGTAGGTTGGTGGGCTTTTGCATTTTGCTGAGTGCCTGAAACTGAGCTGGGTGGAGGCCTGTGGGCCCGCCCCCCGCAGGGGACCATCCTCCCCCCACTTTGGCAACCCCCCCCCCCCCACGCTGCTCCGTCTGGCCTGCACTCACGATGCGAATCTTGTTCCGTGCTTGCCTCTGTGACCCTGAGAGAGTCAGACCATCTGCGACGGTGGACCTCCCCGCGGACACCTGCCCAGGGCCAATCCACTGAGCAGGATGGGGAGCCCACGCCCACCTTACCATGACCGGGAAGATGATGGCGGCCATCGTGGACTTGAGGATCCAGAGCACCGCCAGGCAGAGTATTTGCACCAGGGTGAAGAGGTGGATTCGGCGCAGGGGCACGTGCCGCAGAAAGGCGTGGTCTGGCTGGTGCTTGGCTGGCATCAGGAAGAGCTTGCAGCGTTCCCAGAACTGTTGAGAGTGCAAGGCTCAGCCAGGTGGTGGGGACACCTTGAGTGAGGTGGCCTTGCTGGGAGCTTGGGACTGGGGGAAAGGGTGCTGCGGCAGGGTCTCATAGAAGGTAGACCCTCGTCGGTACTAAGGACGCACCGGAGGGTACTGGAGGTCTGGGAGGGGGGCCTGAGCCCTGCCCGAGGAGCAGGCCATAAATGAAAACTATGCACATTCAAGGAAAATGCAACTAATTGCAACACAAACTATCCAAGACATCTGGTGCATCACGGTAAATAAAGAACAAAACAAAATGTTTTCTTCCGCCAGAGTTGCCTTAGAGAAGAGAGAGATGTAGTGAAATGCTCATTGGAGTCAGACCCATCAGGGTTTTGAATCCTGAGCCTATTTGCTCATCTGTAAAATAGGTAACACAGCACCTATTTATATAGATTTCACTATAGAAGACCTATAAAGTGCCCGATATAGTTATTTTACTTGGCACACGGTAAATGGCAGTATCTTTATCACCATTATTCTTCCACGGCGCTGGGAAAGCAAGCACTTGGGGTTTGGGCAACATGGCAGCTGACTTCCATCCGATCAGCCTGGCGGTGGTTGGAGTGGGGAGAACCTTACCTGGATGCCATTCAGGGAGGCCACGCCCATGTAGAGGAAGACTCCATACAGCACGGGCAAGGGGATGTACTGAAATGAGACAGGGATGTGGAGCTTTGGACCCAGCTTCTGCCAGGGGCAGGCTGTTGGCTGCCCTCTTCTGCACGACAGTGCCTGCCAAGTCACAGGCAGCCTGGCCTCCCTCAGCTTGCCCCTCACCATGGAGGAGTGGGATGTTCTGGGGAACTGAGCCTCTGAGCACTGATCTGGAGCCAGTGTCATGGGAAGGGCTGACCTGCCCCCTTCTTTCTGTGCAGCTGCTCTTCCAGCCTGGCTGCTCTCTTTTGGTGCCTGCAGAAGCCATATGCTTTGGCTGAAGACACACCTTCTGGAACATGGGAAAGCTCCATAGAAAGCCCCCCCTGTTTATTCTTGTCAGCTTCTTTCCACTTCCAGCCCCAGCGGAAGACTGCCTCCCACCCCAAAAAAGCTGCATTGCTCTGGGAACCTTTAGTGAGCTGACCCACATTAGCAGAGAGTACCTGCTGACTAACAAAAATCATATACCACACACAATTGGATTTTAAAAAGAAGCAGAACAGATGTATATATGGTTTGGTGGCATTTTTCCTTCCAGTCATGCTCATAGGTAGTTTGTTAGCTTTTTAAAAAATGGGATCATACATATCATTCACACTGTTCTACAGACATCATTATGACTCTTTAGAAGCTTTTGAGGTATTTCTCTACTGTCTAAGCTGTGTTTCTGCTTCTTTCATCCTTCCCTTTATCTGCCCCTTGGGCTTACCATTGGGAACAAGACTCTGCCTCGATTCCAGGGTTGTCATATTGGAACATGTGGCAGAACACAAGTCCTGTACCCAACTTTTAGATGCCATTTAGGATGTCCATAAATCCAACCGAATAAATAACCGCTCTTTTAAAATAAATTGGGCATATCTAAAATAAATTAGACTTGGTTCAGTTTTTAAACACAAACTATGATTTGGACCTATAAAGCATAAACTTTAATTCAAGACATTGATCTTAAAGTAAAGAAGGGAAACCTGGGCCATTGCATCATTCCATTTGTACATGGCTGATAAGATTTTTGCCTAATTACGAAACAAAGTAAAAAAAAAAAAAAAAAACTTTCCATGAACAACACTGTCCTAATCATTTTCAAAGTGTGGGAGCAATTGAGAGAGAAATAAAATCTTAAATAAAAGACTTAGCTACTGTCTGTAGTAACACAAATTTAGATGGCTTAAAACTTCCCTGTGTGAAAACCACATCAAACAGGAGAACTGGGCTAACTCTTAGATAATTTGCAGTTACCAGTGTCTGGTCCTAAAGTCCCCTATCAACCCTAGTAAATTATCTCCTGTCCTGTCACTTGTAAGCTCAAACAGCTTTCTTGGCAAATCCCAAAGGCCCATGACATCACACTCTGGCCAGTGATGGGCTGTGATCTAAAATTCTATATTAGCACAAATATTCCTTGGATGCCCAAAGACAGGTTCTTTTCAAGTATTAATGAAACAGTACAGTGACAAAAAAAAAAAAAAAAAAAAAA